TTTTTTTTTTTATTTTGACAGCTAGCTGTCAAAGTGAGGGTGCGGGGGCCAGTCTATTCATAACATGTTACATCCTGTATATGGGTGTACCATGTTCTGAAAGGTGAACTTATCCTTTTAAAGGAGAATTCCAGGCTTGGTTTTATTATACATAGTTACAATGGTTCAGCTTGGATCAATGTAGCTGTGTGTATAACATACCTGTGGGAAGCTGGAAAATATTGTAGTAAGCAGCACTACGCCAGTGGTGAAACGGAAAGCTGCCCTGCTGCATTGTGAATACAGGAGGTCGGCTGCTCAGCACAGGCACCATTTGGAGAATGCCTTGCATTTTCTGAATGAATGCATAGATTTCTGTCATTGGATGAGGTGGAGAGGCGGGACAGTAATGTCACACTCTCCACCTCATCTAATCAGAGGACGGTTTGTATTTACTTGGAGTATGAAAAGCACTCTAAATGGTGCCTGTGCTGATCAGCCAACCTCATTGCAGCAGGGCAGCCTCTCAGGAATGGGTCCCAAAGCAAGTGGGTATTATTGGAGTAGCTGTGTCTACTTCAGTGATTCCAGCTTCCAGGGGGATCTGCCAGGTATGATATATACATTGGTCTGGACCAATGTAACTGTAAAGAATATCTATACCTGAAGTTTTTCTTTAACTGCTGTCTTCTATCCTGACTTACCAGGCAGGAAATTAGGGAAAAATCTGTAACATGGACATAGAATACAAATCTGACAAGGGGTTCTAGCCCTCCCCTATTCTACTGGTGTCTGTTCTGCTTTTGGTAAGATCCCCACATTTTCCTGTCTGGTAAAACCTTGTCACCGGACAGAAAGCCCGGGGAAAACTCTCCAATAGAGCCTCAAACAGCAGTAAAAACCTGACAGGGATTGCAGTCTTTTTCCTACTCTCCAAATTAAGGACGCGTTCACACTGATGTGGTGCGGTTTTCCAACACTGCGGGTGCAGCGCAGTGTACCCACGGGTTTCATGAGGGTTACCTGAGCTTTGCCATAGACTTCTATTGAAATAGGCAGTTTTTGTAAATTTTCTGAAAGCTCACCAAAATTCCTGCATTCCTTAGGCTGCATTTGACCTTTCAGGAACGCAGCAAAACGTGCAACGTGCTTATGGTGCCATCGTTTCCTAATGGCAGCCTAAATGTGGTGTGATATTGGCATGTTTGAAATGTGCAAAAATTGTGACAAACCACACCTGGCTTGGTGCCAAAATTTGGTACATGAGCTTCTTTGATGCACTTTTTGCGCAACACAAATTGCGCCGCTCAGGTGTGAATGCAGGCTAAGAAAAACATTTGGTTTGACAAATTTTTTATAATTTTGAGAGAGAGAGAGTTAACATGACCACCAACAGGCAAAGTGAATACCATTGATTATCTCATTAATATGGCACCTGAAAAGTGGGTGGGATATATTAGACAGCAAATGAACATGTTCCCACTGAAGTTGATGTGTTTTAAAGCAGTAAATGGTGAACTGTGGTCCGGATCGGAACCAAGCCATTGTCCCATCTGGACCCATGGTCACGCCATTAACATGCCACTTCCTTTCTCCAGCCTCCTCTGCTATCATTCCCAAGACAGAGTGGAGAACGTGAGGCAGGATAGTAACGAACTGAGTGCTGGAATCATTGGATGGAGAGTGGGAGCTGTCAGCCGTTAACTTTTCATATTAACCAGCAAGTGATTGGTTGCTAAGACCACCCAGTGTACAGTTGCATCAAAGTCACATAAAAAATTGCACTGGAAATCGTGAGACTTGCACAAGTGTAAATGGGACCTTCTAGTGGAACTATAGGCAAAAATCTTTTTTTTTTTTTTTTTTTCCATTTTAGATAGAGTAAGGGAGGGCTAGTCTTCTCATGGGGAAATTTCCCTCCTATTACTGGTATAATTAGTGTGTGGAACACAACAATTAACAATTTTGTTACCCTGATAACCAGTAAAGCAGAGACATATGGTAAAGAATCTCGGTGTTCGCTTTTATATGCAGAGCTCCCGGCAGGAGGTAAGCTGTTCATTGCTAGATACGTTTTTGATGCTCCTCACTGATGTGATCTAGAATGACAGGATTCTGCTTCCATTCCTAAATGCCGTATTTTTCTCTGGTACTTTTTATATTTCTGCTTTCGTTGGAAGTCACGAGCTGGTGTCTAAAAGGAAAAATCCCTGCTTTCCCCGTTCCTTATCGATTCCTTTCATTTTGTATATTGCACTGGGAAAGTGAAAACTTTTGTATGCTTAAAGTGGACCTATGTTAACATAGAAGGAAAATGCTGCTCCTTCATTGTTGATCACATGTCTAAAGGTCTAGACACTTGGTCCCATGATCCCTACTAAAGGCATATGAACTCTTATCCTCGCATTCAGCAAAGATCATATTTTTTTATGCATGGACCTGTGGTCAGCCCTGAAGGGAACCTAAAGCAGCATTTTCCCAGAAAAAGCTACTTTTTTTTTTTTTAATAGCTCCTCTGGCACATGTTGGGTATCCACCCCAACTGCACTGCTAGCATAGTTTAAAGCGGAGCTCCACCCAAATGGGGAAGTTCCAGTCACCCAGTCCTGGTAAATACTTGGGACTTTTGGGGAGCGGGTACCTGATTTTGACAGGTACTTGCTCCCACTTCCGGTCCGACCACCTAGGTGATCGGAAGCGGACATTCTCCCCCCCCTCCCTCCCTGCATTCTTCTTGAACACATGACAGGTCCCAGAAGACTGCGGGACCATTCACAGTGTGCAGTGCCACTCGGACATGCACAGTGGGCCCATGACTGTGAAGCCACAAGCTGTCACAGCCAGGTGCCCACAGTTAAGATGCCAGCGCCAAGGACTGAACATGGTCCACCGTGCCCCCTCGGATGAGCACATCGCTGGATCGTTCAACAGGTAAGTGTCTGATTAATAAAAGTCAGCAGCTGCAGTTTTTGTAGCTGCTGACCTTTAATTTTCAGAAAACCAATTTAAAGTGGTTGTAGACTTCAGACATTAAATATGAACAAAGCATTTTCCTCTGTAGTGTGTACTTGTCTCAATTAAAGAACAACTCCGGGATAGGCAAAAAAAAAAAAAATCACCCGTACACCACCTACACTGAACAGTTAATAAAATGTTGACAATCCTTACCATTTAGGAGAAAAGTCTATCTGAATTTTCATGACCTCATCTTTCTAATTGAAAAGCTAACCGAGATCAACTGTGGGTGTAGGATTATAACTTTTTTTTTTTTTTAATGGTTGAACTGGATGGACTTTTGTCTTTTTTTTTTTTTTTTTTAGCCAGACTAACTATATATGTAACTATCTGCTCTGCCAAGGAGGAGGCGGTATAACAAGGATTACATCATATCCTCTCTCTGCAGTAAATAGAAAACTACAGTTCCCATCAACCACTGGGAATTGTAGTGAATGTGGGCGAGTGCACTAGGCCTGTACATGTTGAATATATCTGAGAGTCTCATTCCGTCCACCACTGCAAGTGGGGCTGAATTACATCACTGCTTCCTGGAGACAGAACTACAGAAGGGATGTGCCAAGACCAGTTGCTGGGGGAATAAGAGGTATAGCAGCCACCGGTCTTACAAACCGGAAACCAAAGAGAATTAACGGTTTGCTTTGAAAATTTATAGGCTACTTCAGTGCAACTACTGAGTGAACCATGAGATGAATGACATATGACAGTGAATGTAGGAAATCCGCAACACAGGCATGTAAAGAAGTTTTTGCCCGTAGTTCTGCTTTATAAGCACTAAGTGTAATTTGTGTCTGATGTTTTGTTCTTCTGCTATCTGTATGAATCACTTCTGACAAGTTTTCCTGACACCAAAAGAAAAAAAGGTGACGGGAGGGAGCTCCAGCACACAGCCTGTGGTCAACAGCCTCAGCTCTGTTCCTGTGAGCTGTGTAGAGGGCGGTGTGCTCCTTCCCTTCAATCAGCTCTCAGGGCTCTCCTCGCTGAGCTCTGTAGAGGGTAATATCAGCTCTCTGCCTCCTTCTTTTTTTTTTTTCTCTGAACCTCAGGCAAGCTTTATAAAACCAGCACTTTGAGCAGATGTAGAGAAGTGAAGACTGAAGGTAAACAAGTACAACTTATGTAGGAGGATTTGTCTCATCTCTGTGTATCGCCTGAAACCAGTCATTTCACTGGGCATATGTAAGAGTTTACAACCATTTTAACGTAGCCTAAATTTGCGTTTTGTTTTTTTTTTTTTTTTTTTTTTAAACCCCCACCCCCCCACTTACCCCCAGGGCTGCTAGCTTAAATGAGGCCTAACAAGAAGTCGGGTCACAGCAGCAAAATAAGGAATTTGGAGCAGACTGAGAGCAATAGAAGGGACTTTTAATGTAGGAATGCTGCCATGGCATGAATAGCACTGTAATACGCCATAGTGTAGGAATGGGTCCTACAATTGAAATACCAGTGTAGTGGAAATTGTTGCTTTGCCCAGAGGTGTCAGTCCCACAGGCAGTTTGTTCAGGCTGCTCATTATTGATAACTCAGTACGCGGCTGACATTTTCCAGGCTGTTTTGCAGTTGTTACTCTTCTATTGTTGGTAGATGCAGCTGAACGCAGTCTAGTAATTGTTTCCGATCTTAGCACAATGCTCCTCATTGCTGTGTGAGGACTGTGTCCTAAATCCCTGCTGACAGTATGGGCTGTATATCTTCCACAAGTCTGGGATCCTAATCCCGCAGAAAAATGAGGGACCTTTTTCTATCACAGCGACAAGGGGCTTGTTTTACAAGCTGTTGACTGAGCTCAATCTGGTCAGCATGGAGGTACCCGTGGCCGCACGTCTGTTTTTCCTCCCCATTTGTTTATTAAGGATTGAGTGATCTGTGTGCCGCTTGCAAATGAAACATAATAACATATTGTCTTTAGGTTTTTCCGTTTTTACTTTTTTGTCTGTTTTTGTTTTCTAAATCTGTATGTATTTTTGCAGGTTACTGTGTCAGTTTAGAATTACCAATAAGTCACCATGGAAGTAGAAAACCCAAGTGAAATAAATGCTAATCTAATAGGTAAGCAATTGCCAATAGAAATGACATTTATTTTACGTCTAGAGAAACATCTTGTTTGTTTTTGTATGTTTTTTTTATTTTTATCAGTGTTTGTCAGAATTAACAGAACAGGGTTTGAGGTTGAAAGCGTATCGGTATTTTGTTCTTTTAGAGATTAAAGAACGTTCACTGAACATTTAGTAACACCCATCAGCTGGCTGTTTTGCAGGTTTTCTGTTTTTTTATTTTCTCAGCTTTTATGTCCTCTTTTGATGTGCTGTGTGGGGCGTTGTTGATCTGAAGTTATTTTAGCTTACCCATGTTATGTCAGATATTGATGGGTGTTGCACGTAATTATCACTTCTGGGTGCTCAATGTTAGGCTCGCCATACACGTTACAATCTATCAACAAGTATGTAGTGCCAGGGCTTGCTTGATTGGATATAAATTGTATGGATTGGATAGTTTAACCACTTGCCTATGTTTTCAGTTTGCGTAAAGCACTTTGATTGACAATTGCGCGTCCCATATGAAATTTTGATCATTTTTTTTTCTCATAGAGCTTTCTTTTGGTGGTATTTTTTCGCCACTGTTTTTGCGCTACAAAAAAAAAAAAAGTTTATTTGTTTCTTTTATAAAATTTTTCAAACAGGTATTTTTTCTCCTTCTTCATGATTTGCGTTGATGAGGCGGCACTGATTGATAGGCAGCACTAAAGGGCACTGATAGGCAGTACTAATGAGGTGGCACGGATAGCGGCACTTGACAGCACTAATTAGGGGTCACGGATAGGCTGATAGGCGGCACTTAGGTGACACTGATTTAGATTACGATGACTGGCATCACTTCTGGGCACTGACTGGCAACTGGCATGGCACTGACTGGTGGCACTGACTGGTTGCACTGACTGGCAGCACTTTGGTGGGTGGCACTGGTGGGTGGGCTGGGTGGCACTGGTGGGCTTGGCACTGGTGGGCACAGGTGGGTGGGCACAGGTGGGTGGCACTGCTGGGCACATGTAGGTGGCACTTCTGGGCACAGGTTGGCACTGCATGTGCACAGGTGGGGGCACTGCTGGGCACAGGTGGGGGCACTGCTGCAGGTGGGGGCACTGCTGGGAACGGGTGGGCGGGGCTAGTGGGCGCACTGCTGGGCGGAACTTGCGGGTGTCACTGCTGGGCACCGATCATCAGGCACTGATCATCGGTGCCCTGATGATCGGTGCCGATCCCCGCTCTGACAACTGCCGGTTCTCGGCAGTACTTTCCTCACGATCTGACAGCGTGAGGAAAGTGCAGCCGAGAACCGGCACTTGCATTTCCCTGTGATCAGCGTGTCATTGGACACCGCTATCACGTGGTAAAAGGCCGGTGGGATCGGCCTTTATCAGCTGTGTCCGTAGGACACAGCGATCACGGAGATTGCGCGCCCCCTGGGCGCGCAGGAGAGCGCGTTCTGGGAGGACGTCATATGACGTCCACTCAGAACTGGCCGGCCGCGGTGAAGCATTCGGCTATACAGAAGTTAAGTAGGTCCTTGTGTTACAAAGTTTTGGTAAATCTTGACTGTACGAAGATTTTATTGGCAGATTATATTGTGTATGGCAAGCCTCATAGAGCGATACTGATCCTCCTTTCTTTTTTTTTTTTTTTTTTTCTTTTCTTTCGTACACATTTTATCATTTTAGAACATCTAAACTTTCAGTACAGATCAGATTACTTTGTTTTCCTCAAAATAATTTACAGAAACCTCCAACTTCATGTCCTAAACCAGAACCACATAGCTTCTGAGCACCACAAACCAAAAACATTGTTTAATTTGTTTTTACTATTCAAAGCCAACACATCCATCCATCTATCCATGTCTCCATGCTTTATTTTGCTAAGAAATCACTTTGAAAAACACCCCCTAGCAGTTCTAGTCATGGCCATTCTGAGTAAGGGCAAATTATTCATGTAGCATGAATTTACTTCCTCAAATCCATCTGCCCCTAGCTCAGCCGTGCAGGCAGGAGGGTGTGCTTAGCTGAGGAAACCCTTCCTGAAGACACCTGGGATGTATGACTTCATTAGCCTAGGCATGGAAATCAGGAAGCAGTTGAAGAAATCCAGAAACCCTGAGACTTGTACTGGGGGGTACCATATTGGATGTGATGTCAGCAGCTCCAGCAGATTTAGAGCTGTCACCCGAGTGACACTCTATAACAGGGGTCTCCAAACTGTGGCCCTCAAGGTGTTGAGGAACTGCAAGTCCAATGAGCCCTTGCAAGACTCTGACAGCCACCTGCAAGACTCCCAGAGGCAGAGGCATAATGGGACTTGTAGTACTTCCTGGGGCGGACTGACAACTCATGGGGCCCCCGGGCAGTAGGGGATCATGGGGCCCCTGTGTCCTTGCCAAAACTCAAAAAAGCCTATGAAAAAGGTACCAGGGGCATATCATGGGGCCCCCTACTGACCCCGAGCCCTTGGGCACTGCCCGAGTTTCCAAATGGTCAGTCCACCCCTGAGTACTTCAACAGCTGGAGTGCCATTGTTTGGAGACCCCTGCTTTTATAATAATCCCCTTTGTTCCTCCCTTGCAGCTACAAAAATGTAGGGAGGTGAGGCAAGGGGTGAAAGAGCCAGACCAGCAAAGACAATAATTAGATATTCGTAGAATATTGGAGGGCTTGCAAGGAGAGAGTGAGCATGTGCTAAGAAATTGACTGGTCAGTTTTTCTATTAATTTCAAAGGCACACGGCAAGTGAATAAAAAAACATTTATGGAAAAGCAAAACACAGCGAGTAAGGATTTAGAACACTTGATTTTTCTATACATTTACATGCAATGTTTTAACCACCCATAGACCGCCCATAGTATTTATACTGTCCTGTTGCACTGGATCACATTCATTATTATTATTATTATACAGTATTTATAAAGCGCCAATAGTTCGCTCAGCGCTGTACATTACAAAGGGGGACAGAACATGTGACATAACAATACCAATACAATGTGATACACGAGGGGTTCGAGGGCCCTGCTCTTTCGAGCTTACAATCTAGGAGATGTGATCCAGCCTTTCCGGGTAGAGGGCACGTGCCCTCTGCCCGATCTGTGCTCTCATTTGGTACAGCACAAGTCGGTCAGCAGTTCCCGGCCAATGGTTTTGGCTGGGACCTGTTGATCAGCTTAGCAAATCATAAACAGAGCCCTGTGTTTACTAACAACACAGGGCTCTGTATAGAGTGCAGCGATGTAGCTGTGTTTTCTCCCTGAAAAGCAGGGAGAAAAAAACCCACATCGATTAGTAAAAGCAGCAGATATTACACACATTACTTGTTGGGCACACAGTTAACCCTTTGATTACCTTTTAGATATTAACCTCTTCCCAGCCAGTGTTATTAGCACTGTGACTGTGTACAGTATTAGCACTGATCACTGTATTAGTGTCACTATTGATGTCAGTCTTAGTGTGCCTCCCAGCCAGCATCAGATTGCCCACCACACTTTCACAGTTCCACTATAAGTCGCTGATCACCCTCATTACCTTATTGGCTGAGTAAATTCCAGTATATACCATAGTTTGTAGACATTATATCTTTTGCACAAACCAATTAATATACAGTTATTGCAATTTTTATTTTTACCAAAGACGTAGCATAATACAGTTTGATCTAAATTTATGAAGAAATTTGACTTTTTTTTTTTTTTTTTTTTTTTTTTTTGGATATGGTTTATAACAGAAAATAAAATTTATTTTTTTTTCAAAATTTTTGGTCTTTTCTTTAAATTTATATAATAAAAAACCCAAATATCACCAAAAAAGCTCCTATTTGTATGAAAAAAAAATTATATAAGTTTAATTTGGGTACAGTGTTGCATGACTGCACAATTGCCAGTTTTTTAGTGCAGTGCCGAATAATAACAAATGCTCTTGCACCACAATTCCTGCACATGCGGGACTCGAACTCTGTTAGTATCTGTAGAAAACTCAGTTGGTACAAAGGACTTTAACAACAGGTTTACTTGAAAGCATGACCCAAAAGGAATCTCTACTTATACTACACTCCCCTGATGCTGCAAGCACATCCCATGCAAGATTTGAGTTTCAAAAAAATGTCAACTTGCTCCGGGCGCTTTGCTTACTGCTTCTTTGTATGCCAAATGAACACTTTGATAAGAATATTTGTACCGGAAAATTATAGATCCCATTTTACAGTCCCATGCAAATAGATATTGCCTGTACTGTATGCTGGTCATGTTTTGCTTTGACTTTAATGCTAAGCTCTGGGCAAACGGCTAAATACACAATTGGAAAGCAAATGAGAGAGCTCTGCTGCCTGTCAAAGGATTTGTATTTATAGCCCAAGAGTGGAAATTGAAGCATCACACCACTGCTAAGAGGTCCAGATATTCCAGATACGTCAGGGGGACAATACAACTACTTTTAGGATTTTCCCTATGACTTTTATTGGAATAAAGTTGTATCTGGACCTATTATTGGTTTGATTCTTCAATTTGCTTTTGTTACCCTAATAGTCAAAGAGATGGTAGAGTTCCCCTGGAGTGTGAAGCCACCTTTTCAGGAACCAGATCATTTACGACAACATCAATACTTTAGGATACAAAGTCCAATAAGATAACCCTATGGGGTCCAGTGCTATTTTCCCACTTTCCTTCACACGTATTTCTTTCCATCCAGTCCTGAGAATTACACAGCTCTGTCACACAGCCACATGGACACACTACAGTTATAGATTGTAGAAAAAACAGTGGTGTCTTATCTCTACCCCAAGTCTGCTGTTTGGACAGTGGAAGAACCACGTGAGACTGATGAGGTCATCCTTTTGTTCACTCTGCTCTCTCCTCTTATGAGCTTGCTCTTTGTCAACTACGGTTGCACTGATGCGGATGCTGGTATCGGGAATGGGTGCCGATACCGAGTACTTGCACAAGTACTCATACTCTTACAAATGCTCCCGGTACCAAAACTGATACCTTTTGCAGTACGATTTGAGCTCATACAAAATGAATGGGCTCAAATTGCACTGCATGCGATTTAAACAGGAATCGCATGCAGGTTTCCTGCACAGCTCCTGTGTGAACCCAGGCTTGTCATAGAGACTTTGAGCCTGAGTTCACACGAGCGGTGCGGGAAACCTCCCTGCATGACAGGTTCCACCAGTTCCCAGTCCCATTGTGGATTTCAGCGGCTGCAGCTTGGGCTCCTGCGTCTCCCACATGTGATGGTGCTGAACCAATCAGAAGCCATGTAGCCCGTACTGTCAGCACTTCAAGGAGAGGAGAGAAAACCCCAAGGATTTCAAATCCCTGGTCCTGTGAAGCAGCTTTTCATTGTCTGACAGCAGGGAGGGATGGGTGGAATGGCCGGAACCGCTGGAGACTGGGGGGAAAAGATGCACTTTAGATGCACTTTAAGTTCTGTTGTTCCATTAACATTTTGCTATTTCTCCAGACGCCGAGAACCTGAACGATTCCCTGTTTGATGGGGATGAAGAGAACACTGGAGCAGAGCAAATCAAGAATGAAGTAAATGGAAACTGTCCAGTCTCTTCAATTAACGAGGCTAAACTTAATGCCAAAGCCAAGAGACGCCTGCGCGCAAAAATTCTTCACGTGACTCGGGGAGAGGAGACTCTGTCAGCGATAATGGGGAGAACTCCAGGGGGGTCCTACCCACCAGTCCAAAAACCAAGCTTATGGACCGCAAATCACGGAGCGGGAAAGGGAGGGGGCTGCCAAAGAAAGGTTTGTCAAGCACCGGCTCTTGTTTATCTGTTGTTTTATATAACCGGCTTTATTTACTTCCTGCGCATTGATCCGAAAGCAATGTTTTGGCACCTCCTATAAAACTTTTTTTTTTTTTTTTTTTCTGTGTCTGTAGTAAACGATAGATGTTTGTGGTATTTTGTGCTGGTCAGTGTGAGTGATGTTTACATGTTAACCTTTTGACGTTTGATAAAATCACTTTATACCATGCACAATGGTTGGGCTGATCAGCATGAATATTTCCACTCAGAAGGTTCAGTGTAATGCAGCCTTTGGATATCCAGGGCAGTTGGATGTGCATGCACGATCAACCACCCTCAGGCATCCTCTTGGGGACTCAAGCATGACAGCTAGGCTTGATGGGGCATCACTTTTGTTGTTTTGGGAAAGTAGCATGTGGGAACAGTAGCTTTGGAGGCAGGATTTTTGATTCATCCTTCTGATTATGGTCAGATTTATTTGTAATCTGGCCAAAAACGGCCGTGTAGGTCTGCCGTCATGTTTTATGTCTTTTTTGGAAACTGAACTGCTGTCCCAGACCAGCATAGGGAATGAGTTTTAACACAACTGTTTTTTTGTTTTGCTACATCCCAACCTCTTTTACTGCTCAGCGCATCTCCAATTCATTTAAAGTGGTTATAAAGGCTGAAGATGTTTTTATCTTCATGCATTGTATGCATGAAGGTAGATAAACCTTATGTGTGCAGCTCCCCCTTTAGCCCCCTTAATACTTATCTGAGCTTGAACTTGATCCATCGATGTGCATGAGAGCAGAGGCTCTCCTGGCTTTCTTCCTCCTTGGCTGAGACATAGCATTGTTTCCTGCTGCTGTCAACCACAACCAGTGAAGAGGGATCTGGGTGCGAGGCTAAACCACGCTCTGTGTGTCTATGGACACACAGAGTGGGGCTCAGGAGCAAGCACGCATGAGTGGCTCCATAGCAAGTGGCTTGCTTTGGGGTACTTGGCAGGGGGTAGGGGCCAGGAACACCAGTGGGGGACCCAAGCAGGAAAGGATCAGGGCTGCTCTGTGCAAAACACTTACACAGAGCAGGTAAATATCACATGTTTGTTATTTATTTAAAAAAAAAAAACACACATATATATTACACACACCTACCTTTACATTCACTTTAAAGCGGATTTCCACCTAGAAAAAAATAAATAAAAGGTCAGCAGCTACAAAAACTGTAGCTGATGACTTTTTAAATACAGCCACTTACCTGTCCCTCGGTCCAGCAGTGTCCTCACCACCGCTTGTTTCACCGGCCGTCTTCTCTCCCCTGGCGCCGTCATCTTCAATGTGGGCACCCGGCTGTGACCGCTTGCGGCTTCACAGCCAGGTGCCCACTGCGCATGCGCGAGAAGTGCTGCGCTTTGTGAATGGGCCCCATAGTCTTCTAGGACCTGTCAAGTGTCCCAGAAGAGGGAGTGGGGGGGAGGACAACTTCCGCCAATCAATGGGGAGCGGGGAACAAAGGCTTAAAGCGGAACTTCCCCTTTTGTGTGGAGCCTCTCTTTTAAGCTTAAATTGAAAAGTTTTGATTTTGAAATTAATAGATAGATGGGGGAATTGAAACCCAATTGAACTCTCATTTTCATTTAACAACACTAAGGCCCTGTTCACCTATACTGCGATGAGCTGCATTTTACCTCACTGGGTCTATGCAAGTCACCACTTGGATGCACAGAAATCAATAGTTTTTCTGCAGTGCATCCTGCAAGTGGGGTGCAGTGAGCTGTGATTAAATACAGACATGCTGACATTTTATGTCAGTGTACAGGAAAGTATCACGGGGCACTGCACACTGTGCTGCTGTGCTATGACATGAAAGAAGTGTCACTTTTTGCACTTCAAATAAAGTTGACACCAAAAGAGAACGTTCTAGTGCGCTGAAACCGCCCTCGACCTCTAGCTCACTGCAGCTGGAACAGACGGTTGGCCACACATAAAACCACAATGACGCAGTGTGAATGGGCCCTAAATACATTCCAGGAGCATCAAACATCTCTTAGTTTTATTTTCTTTAAAAAAAATCACCCAGAGCCTAAATAGAACTCATGGCCCTGCCAGCAACTGCAAAATGCAACCCTTGCACTGATCGCTTTGCAAACTACCAACATTCTTTGAGTGAGAGCCAAAGTTCTTCAATAAGTGTTGCTCATTGCAGAGCTATTGGCCCGACTCAGAAGGACCTTTGTCAGACCTCTGCAGTGAGACTACTGCTTCACTACAGAGGGTCCTTCTCTGCAGCTGCCGGCAGGGCACAGGCTTTTCCACTCAGGCTGTGGCTTCATTAAAATGGAAACAAACTATAGAGCAATAGACACTTTTTTGTTTCGCTTTAGAGGATTTAGACCCCTTTCACACATGTGATCTGATCAGGTCTGCCTGTCAGTTTTTCAGGCGGACCTGATCTGGGGTCTGTTTACACCCGCCTACCTCCATTCTAATACAGTCCACTAAAAAAAACTAGGCGGATTGGATCAGAGGGAATTTGGGTGTAAATGGACAGCAGAGTCTGTTTACTCCCAGCCACCCATAGAGTAGAGCGGGCTCTGTCAGTGTCCGCTCTGAAGAAACTGAGCAGACACAGACCTGTCATTCGCCTGCTCTGCTCTGCAGGGGATCTGTGAGCAGATCCCCTGCTGATCGGGAGTCCACCCCTTGTAAAAGGGGCCAGTTAAAGTAGAGGGGATTATGCCAGGTTAAGTATAAATTATCAGCAAAACGTTTGACAGAAGTGGAAGTAAAATGTCTATTATTTGGTTAAGTTTTCTGCAGAACAGATTTGTTTGGGTTGTTTTCGCCTTCACCAAAATAAGGTGAAAGGATCATTCCTAAAAAATGGATTGTTACAGGCTTATTTAAAATAATTGTAAACCACAACTATAGTAAATTGGAGCATATGCATAATGCTGTAAGGCTGGCTCAAATTTCACAACCTGAGCCACAAGTGGCCTGGCAAGCACCACCTGGCACGTCAAAAGCGGATTTAAAACTTCACTGACCCAAGTGGGAAATTACCAGCCAAAAAGGAACTGCATCCTATCGGATGCATTCAGTGTTCAGAGGCGCCACTGTATTCAGGCAGTCATTGGTGCGACAGCCACTGAATACAAAAACTGTCAGTGAAGATTCCTTCATCTATGCTGTTCATCCTAGCCGAAATAGGATGAAATATCATTCCTAAAACTGGACCCTTACAGGCTCATTGACTATATACCAGGGGCGGACTGACCATTTGGAAACTCGGGGACTGCCCGAGGGCCCGGGGTCAGTAAGGGGCCCCATGAGATGCCCCTGGTACCTTTTTCATAGGCTTTTTTGAGTTTGGGCAAGGACACAGGGGCCCCATGATCCCCTATTGCCCGGGGGCCCCATGAGTTGTCAGTCCGCCCTTGCTGTATACGTTGAGATACAATCACCGTTTGACAGAATCACTGATTTTCAGGCAGCCGCTGAGGCTGCTGCTGCTGAATACAATAGCTGGAGTGCAGATTCTTACATCCACGCTGTTTTAATGTGGATGGGAGAATCAATTGCTTTTCTCTTGATCAGCCCGTGAAAGAAAATCGAGAATTGTCTGGTTAGCTTAGCCCATGGAAGATAACCATAGAAATAACTTGATTCAGCTCGTTGAACATCATTGTTACTGTTTGAACTGTGAAAAGGTGACTCTGAGTGTACTCGGCTCAACCCAATTGAGAGCCATAGAGACGCGCTTGCTGGCTGCTTTTAGAGTCCATTGACCTTTTGTAAGCAGCACTAGGGTGTATATTTGCACATTGCGGTTTAGATAAGCACTGTAAGAATCATCATTTCGATAAGTGCAGCCAGGGGCTTAGGCAGTTTCTCCATCTAGTTGCCACTCTTCGTTGTGATGTCATCAAGCCACTGCTGTAGTCTTAAAGACCCTATTAGGATCCCATAGATGGACAGTCAATGGGAAGTGTCCTCATCAAGAGGCAGCAACCTGAGCATCTGAAGGACCCTTCCAGCCGGCAGTCTGAGAGAGGACTAGGAACCAAGTAGTTTGTGATCATAGATTCAGGTAAGTATTTAGGGCATTTTGTTTTTTTGGGAGAGTAGCTAGAGTGGTTTTTAAATTTAGATTTTATTGAACAACTTTGAAGAGGGTACACTTAGAGAGCACAGACCACAGAACAACATAATCCCATACAGTGTTACAACAATAAATCAGAAATATGGAAATCTTTCAAAACAGTCCTTGCAGACTAAAATGTTTCCCATAGACAAAGGACAGCCCCCCCCCCCCCCCCCCAAAAAAAAAGAAAAAAAGTGGTATGTGGTGGGTACATTTTAGAGGGGGTAAGTTACTGGACGATGGTAAATTTTAAATAAGCCCATAAGATGCAGAATGTCACTGCAACACAGTTTTTAAAAAGATAAATTATTGTAACTATCCTGTGTTTTTTTTTATTTTTTTTTTTTTTATTTTTTTTTTTACTTAGGTGGAGCTGGTGGCAAAGGGGTATGGGGGACACCAGGGCAAGTATATGATGTAGAAGAAGTTGATGTCAAAGATCCAAATTATGATGATCAGGTAAGCCCTAGTAGCTTCAGATGTGAAAATTCGATACTAAACTAGTTCAATGAAGCCAGATGTAAGAATGTATCTATCGAATGAAATGCTTACAATAATGTGCAGCGCTGTCAGTTTAAATAAGTAAATAAATCACAATAAATGTGAAATAAATATGTGTAAGAAAATGAAAATCCACAAATGCATATAAATTAATATAAATGCACAAACTAATCTATAAGTGTATATAATTATTTCAAATTAATGAAGTCCACCAAGCATATTGATTGTCACCAATTATGAACTTAAAAAGTCCATTAATCAATATCTTAAAGCAATACACCAAAAATCAACCCAAAAGAAAAATTCACCATGCAAGGAAAAAATTGTGTATAGATCTTCCTTCAGTACGCCAGCACTGTGCACCCACCGCCAATTATCCACACCGCTGCTTACCAGAAGGCTAGACCTCAAATGCAGAGAGGTCTAACAGTGCTTTGTGGAAGAAAACCTCAAAGTGTGGATGGATAATAAATCTCTAAACACAGCCCTTCGTGTACTTACTCAGCTCTGGTCCAGTTCAGCTCCAAGCACTGATCACAATATTAGCGGGAGAGAGGAAGAACTGCCAATACTGCAGTATCTTAAAACACCATTTATTAAAAAACAGGTATATACTCAAATATAGGCAGGAATATACAGCATATCAAAAACCACCACCAAACACCCTGGTGGGCATGATGACATCCAGAAATGTTGGTATTTGGTATTAGAATGTATGTGCCAGGTTTAGCATCCATACATTCTGGGCCCATGGCCCTGTACACTTGTCATGTTTTAATCTTAAAATACACTGAATCTGAAAAATGTTTTATGTCTAAATTCCCCCTGAATAGTAGACCCCACAAGGTGCTAATTGATTATTTTATCTGCACATCAGCCTGTTTAGAACCCTGCTTGAGCCTGCAGATGTTCCTATGTTATTAATGACTTTCTGAAAGTCTCATTTGTTTTACATTTGGGCACATCCACACTTTCTCCCACTCCCTTGATATTTCTTGAGCTTATCTATAGGTCACTCAGCCCTATAGCGGGGGTGAATCAGCCCAATGGGGACACAGACAATAAAAATTGGACAAGGGTTCAAATCCTTCCCCACTCCATCCAACAAGAATGTGTTTTTTTTTTTTAGTCTTTAGATACACTTTAACTACTCTGCTGAAAAAGCCTGTTCACAAGCTGAAAAGGTCAAGTTCAGATAATGTATATATATAAATTCAGAGAAGTGACTCATCTCCTTCCCCTCTTTGTTTTTAGCTATTCTGCACACTTTTAGTTGGAGAGAGACAGTCTGTATGCAAATGGATATTCTGCCTTTTTTTTTTTTTTTTTTTTTTTTTTTTTTTTTTAAGAAAACCTATAATACACTTTGATAGTGTTGTGGGTATAACCTGTATTATTTCTTTGTGAATTAAAATTTTCATAGTAATAGCTAAAGAAAGAGATATAAAACATCAGTCTAAAAATTTATACATTGAAAAAAAAAATCTAACCATTTTTAAAAAATTTTACAAATCATCCCATCCATAGGCTGTTTTAAAAAATCCTGGACATCAAGTAGTAAAGCAAGCTCATGGCTACAGCTGCTGTGAAGATCTTGGTATTTTATATTTAGCTGGCTGTTCAGTAAACGTGATCTGAGCGGTCCTACAGGTAGTGAAAATGGCCAACCTAACCCCACCTATTCCCAAACCTCTTATGCCAGAAGCAATGAGATTTTTGTCACTTCTGTCTTCAGCTCACTTCTGGCTACTGTAGCCCGGGAAGCAGCTAATCAAGCATGGTTTGTGCTTGACTAAATGCAGTGGAGGGCAGGGGATACTTCAGGGGTCACTTGCCCATGCTATTACATAGGGGCTTGTTAGCACCCTTGTGATGAAAATATAGTGAAATAAAAAAGAAATCTATTATAAAATTATTAAAATAATATTAAAAGTATCCCTGTTGCCTTCCGCATACATGCAAATAAAAGATTTGAACAAAGGACATCCGATCGGCTGCACTCCAAACAATGCACTTTATTGGGCCAAGATAAAACCAATACAGACAGTGGGGGGCTGGCAGGTAAACGCGTTTCACGCTAAAAGTGCTTATTCATTACCAGGGGTAATGAATAAGCACTGTCTTTAACATGAAGCGCGTTTACCTGCCAGCCCCCCACTGTCTGTATTGGTTTTATCTTGGTCCAATAAAGTGCATTGATTTGGAGAGCAGACGTCCTTTGTTCTCATCTATGCAGCACATGAAGTGGGCTAGCACCTACAGGAGGAGTTGTGCTTGGATTTTGGGAGTCGCTCTACCTTGAGTAGCGGTAAGCAAATAAAAGATCTGTTACCAACAAACCTTAATCTTCTTCTGTGAAAAGAACCATATTTATTAACGTTTGTTCAGCATACCATATAGCACAGGTTCAAAGTTTCACTTTCTCTTGATGAAGAGACCCCTGGTGGTTCTGAATTGTTGCACCTGTGCTGTAATGACATGCTGAGCAAATGTCAACAAAAAAAACTGTTCTTTTCACAGAAGATTAAGTGTGCTGGCGAATTATCTTGTATTTGATTGTTGTGGCGCCATCCATCAATTGCTCCAGCACTCTGCAGTTGGGCGTGTATCCTGGCGTGCAATGGAGATATCTTTGATACATGGCAAATGCAAACATGAGCATAGGATGCACAGTGTATACAAATCGCAATTGCACCACACATGTGACGCATCTCCATGAACGTCAGAGTGAGAGCAGTAATTATAGGGTCATAATTCACAATTGACTCTAAATTGACAATCTGTAAAGGGTTTTAAAGCATCTCCTATGGGCAATTTTGTGTACCATAATTTTTCATCCTTTCATGGACACTGACTGATCAGTTTCCAGTTTCTTTCATGAACACTTGTAGTTTTCAGGCTGGGACATGTTTGGTATCTATTTATTCAGTACAACCCTATCTTTTTACATTTGACCAAAATTAGGATATTATATTGTGTTTGTATAGAACTGCCAACATAATATTCTAAAGGGTCTCTGCTTTCAGAAATATATAATTGTTTAGAAATTTTCTAGTAAAAAAAAATTGATCTTTTAACGTGTAACCTAAAAGAATAAAAAATAAAATCCTGCCCCAAATGTGAAGTGGTTAAATAACCGTTTCCTCGGTAATGTGGGATAAAAACTTCTGCTCTACTGTTGGTTGGGAGGAAAAAAAACAACCAAAAAGCAGAAGTGAAAATATATGTTCCTGTACTTTGATTTTGCAAGACAAATTCTGTTAAAAGTGATTGGGATGTTAGTTGTAACAAACAAAATTTCTTAACTAAAGGTCATCTAATGAAAAGAAAATGTTGTGCAGGCATCAGATAAGATGTGTAGATCATCATTCTTATAAATGTATATTTTACTAATAAGAAAAACTGGAAACTGATCAGTCAGCCTGCCTTGTGGCCGTAGGATTGTGGCATATTTATATTTACGAAAACAACCAACAGAACCACTTTATGTACAGATACAGCCATGCTTGTTAGCATGTACATAACAGTGGTTGGTCATCCCTTACACACCACGTAAAGAAAATGGGTACAATGAAAATAAGGTGTTATGGGTTCAAACAAGGGGTGTAGTCCTATCACCCTAACATGCAACTAAATAAGTGACAAGAACCAACCCATCAGATGCATTTGCTGTTCGGGCATTCAGACAGCCGTTGGTGCTCATGGGCTAATCTATAGTCAATAGTTGACAAGATGGAGTCCTCCAACTCTTCAATTGATTTCTAAATCTAAGTGAGTTTGGCTAGCCATACACAGTTCAGTAAAACATTTGTAACATGAGGCAGTAAAAATAAGTCTAATTATAGATACAGTTGCATTATACAAATGGTATATTACATACATAAAGGAGTGCAAAGTAAGTTGGCAAAGCAGGTTCTTCCCAAAGTTGTGGGGTAGTAGTGTATCCCTTTCCCAAGAGAGACCTGCTCTGCTCATGGTAAAGTACTTTGCACTACTTCATGTAATACTTCATGTGTATATGAAATTGTACCTCGTACCTATGCCTATTGTTATTACCTTGTGTTCTGTATGAACTAGCAAGCTGTGTAAGTTCACATTGTTTACCCTTCATATTAAATGTGCACTGTATTGATATAAGGCGAGATGATTATTTTGTCACTTATTTTGTTTATCTCGCACATCTCCTGACTGGGACTGCTTGTGCAGCTGTTTTTTCTTTTCTTTTGCTCGTTTGTTGTGTGTTGCAGATCCCCGTGCCAGTGGAAGTGCTGAAGGGATTGAGCTTTGTATTATTTCATGTTTAATAGTTCAGCAGTCTGAGAGAAAAGGCAGGGTCCCGCTTTGTTTGCTCTGCTGCGTTTGCTGATTATGCATTTTTTCCCCTCGTGTGAATTTTTATAGGAGAACTGTGTTTACGAGACAACTGTGCTTCCCCTGGATGAAAACGGGTTTGAAAAATCTGTCACACCAATCATGCAGGAGTACTTCGAACACGGCGACACCAATGAAGTTGCAGTATGTTACCGCAGTTTTTATTTTACATTATGGTTATTACAGAACAAAAATTCATAGTGCTTTTATGTTTACAAAGTAAAATGGAAAGTATTGCAAAAACCACAATATTCTGATAGCTATGTGAGGTATGATGTTAAAGTGTAAGAAATCCCATTCTATAAGCTTGCAGATATGGTTTGTGGTTATCAACAATTTATCTTTGTGCCCATTCTTATTATTTTTCCTTTTGTCCAAAATTACCTGGTCATCCTGCCAACAGCTTCTACTTTCTCCCTCATGGTGACAAAGAGAAGATCATTGTACCTTCTGATTTCTCTGGATACTGAATGCTGTATGGATGGCAAACATGCCACCTGGCCCGTCTCTAGCTGAATGTTTGTTTATAGTGCCTGCTGTATTGCTAAAAACAAAAATAACCCTTGCTGCAATGTCATTAGGTAGGCCCAAATCTATACAAAACAGCAGCACTCACTGTATCTACACATGTGAATACAAAATAAATTAATAAATTGACCAGTAAATTGTTGCGCTGTCTTACATGCCAAAACATAAACCAGTTAAGGAAGATTAATATCTAAATAACAAATAACTGAATAAATAAGTAAAACCGCCAACAAATAAATATGCAACACAAGAATTCAGTATATAAATAATACTCTTTATGAATTACAAAAGTCTCAATCTTGAAAGTTCATTAAGAAAGTGAATAATCACAATAAATTGAATAAGACAAGTACCCCACTTTTGCATCTAGCAGCAATCCTGTGCCTCCATTCTTCACCACTGTGCACGCCACCAAATGGAATATCAAAGCCTCTTACCAAAAATATAGACCCCCCTAGACAGAAGGTCTAAATTTTCTTAAGGAAAAGAAACCCTCATTGGATGGATGGGTCACCGCTCAGCCTGAACCACCGAACTGTTACCTATAGCTATTCAGTGTGCTATCACTTTCTAGCGATGCTTCACATGTCACTTTACACCAAAAGGATAAAATATCCAGCTCCCAGCAAAGATGTTTCCAGTTTACCATGCAAAAGGAGGGGAATCGCTCATCATATAGCAGTAAAAAATTATTTTCTTTACGTTAAGACATCTACTTACAATCTTGACAGAAAATCAGACATATCACACAAGCAGCATTGAGCGCCCAGGCCAGCGGGATGATGTGACTGCTAAAACTCCGCCCTGTATTGCTGTTAGTATAGAATGAACAGAACTCCCAAGATGTAAATAAATGGGATTCAGTGAGCGCTAAAAAGAAACCGCAGCTGATACACTAAAAAGGGAAACCATAAAACCTTTCAAAATAATCTTAACATATATAGTGCACCACTCGGAATGATGTGTATGGGCCCACCTATTATAGTAAATACAGAGTGGTATAGAGATGCCCAAAATCACCAGTATCATTGACGACACAGTGTATAAATGATGTCCTAAACAACAGTGTAGTGGTTAAATTATACCAGACACATTCAAAAGTTTCGTAATACACAGTGCAGGTAATAGTCCAAACAATATTTGATGGTGATCAAATCACAAGTGGATTGAATAGCGATGACTTGATTATTCCTGCACGACACTGAATCACAGTTGTCACTGGGATTTAATGAGTAAATTGCACACTCACCAGAGGCGCAATGTAAATGCACATTTATGTCATATGCAACAGAGGTCCCCTCAATCATGGATGGAAGGTAGCCTGGAATGGACAACTCCTCAGTGGATGGTAAACTCCTAGAGGTCCCCTTTAAAGTCCTGGCTACGGACGGGATCTGGGTACAGCTCTCCTCTGGGCCCTGGGATGGTCACCTGGTGGTTCTGGGGGGTTAAATGCTCAACGTAGAGCAGAAAAAAGTACCCATGGTGTAGTAATTTGATCCAAAGTGGAAATTAATTTATTAAAAATTTAAGATAAAAACACACTTTTTAGGTACTGGAGTACAAAATCATCCTTGTGCACAATGGATGCAATAATGGTAGAATGCAGCCTAAAATATGAACACTGACCAGCTGGTAGTAAAGGGTGGCCGCCGGACCTCCTTGATCCGGTGGCTTGACGTTACGGCTAGCAGAACTCCCAAGATGTGTGACTTTGGTGCAAGGTGCCAGTAGTTGTTTTGAGGCTGTGCCCACAGAGCTCAAAGCGAGGGGGAAATATATGGATAAAATGGTAATGTGACCATTCAGATAAATAACTAAAAAAATAGTTTATTTTGTTATTGTTTCTTATTTTCAGCTTAACAGCATGCTTGACCTTTAGTTAAGTATTGAAGTTATGTATTTAACGTGCCTTAAGTTTACTAATACATTCTGGTATTTTAAAAAGCCCTATGTTATTAAAAAATGCATACATAGATAAAAAGACTCTCCGTTGTTGTTCACATTTTCTGGCAAGCAATTCAAGCAGAACAAAATCTTGAATTCCTTCTCTGAGGGTTTAGCAAAGGGGTGGGCAATTGATTTTCCCGAGCGGGGGGGGGGGCCACGTGAGGAACTAGGACTGTTGTGGAGGGCCGAACTTAAAGCGGAGCTCCACCCAAAAGGGGAAGTTCTGCTTTAAGCCTTGGTCCCCCGCATCCCATTAAGGATTGGCACCTTTGGGGAGCGGGGGGGAGCGAGTACTCAAATTTGACAGGTACCCGCTCCCACTTCCGCTGCAATCACCTAGACCAGTGGTCGGCAAGCCGCGGCTCGCGAGCCCCATGCGGCTCTTTACATGCTTTAATGCGGCTCTTGTGTGCTGGGCGCCCGCTCCCCTCCTCCTCTCTGGCGGCAGGGACTCTGCAGCGTGATCCAAAAAAAAAAAAAAGCCAGCCAGGGCAGCGCGCTCAAATGCAATGATTGTCCAGTCTCGCTGCCACTCACATCCTGATAGCCAGTGATTGGCTGTCAGGATGTGTGTAGGCGGGGCAGCGTGACGAACGTGAGAGGAGCTAGGCTCCTCTCACAGTCCGCCCTGAAGACCGGAACGGCGCGGGAACACGGCGAGAGGAACGCGCGGAGCAAAGGTAAGTGAATTGACACAGGGGGGGACTTGGCTTACTACTTGCTACTTACTTACTACTACTATATGAGGGATGAATTACTATATGGGGGATGAATTGCTATAGGGGGGATGAATTGCTATAGGGGGGGATGAATTACTATAGGGGGGATGAATTACTATAGGGGGGATGAATTACTATGGGGATGAATTACTATATGGGGGATGAATTACTATATGGGGGATGAATTACTATATGGGGGATGAATTACTATATGGGGGATGAATTACTATATGGGGGATGAATTACTATATGGGGGATGAATTACTATGATTACTATGGGGGATGAATTACTATATGGGGGATGAATTACTATATGGGGGGATGAATTACTATATGGGGGATGAATTACTATAAAAAACTTATTGAAACTAAAAACAGTGTACCATCCTATGTATTTTCAGTTTTAAAAATGTGGCTCTCAAAATAAATTTCAATCGTGGTTTTGGCGAGATTTGGCTCAGTTGAAAAAAAAGGTTGCCCACCACTGACCTAGACGATTGGAAGCAGAAGTTGTCCTCCCTCCCCGTAGTCTTCTGGGAACACGTGACGGGTCACAGAAAACTACATGGCCATTCACAAAAGTGTAGCGCTTCTCGTGCATGCGCAGTGTGCACCCAGCTGTGAAGCCACAAGCTGTCACATCCGTGTGCCCACACTGAAGATCCTGGCACCAGGGAGAGAAGATGGCTGGTGTAACCAGCTGTGGTGAGGACACCGCTGGACTGAGAAACAGGTAAGTGGCTGTATTTTAAAAGTCAGAAGCTACAGTTTTTGTAGCTGCTGACTTTTTTCTTTCAGTGGAAAAACTCAGCTTTAATTCTGCTTAATAATAATTTTGGACCTGGGAAGGTCTGTAAGTACGTAAACTTATAGAAAAAAAAACCACCTGGTGCTAGGAATAATGGGTACAGCTCATGAAATAGATCTCTCAGATGGGAGGTTGAGTGGTAAGATGGGAAGCCAAGCTGTGGTTTCACCGATGTCCACCTGAACTGTAAAATAACAGCCAACTGGGACTGTTTACATGTCACAGCATTTTTAACTTTAGATGTTTCACTTGTCAAACTTGCCCATTGAGGGCTGAGCTGCAACCTCGTGCAATGCACACAATTGCAGTATGGTAGTGTAACATTATAGGGTTAAATAAGGAGGTGAGGAGGCGATGTAACCTCTCCTCACTGCCTGTAAAATAACCTCTGAAAATCACTGTGACTGGAAGGAGAGAGCCTGAGATCAGTACAGAGGGGATTTCTGCAGATTCCGACCTCGAGTGAAGAACACAGGAGCACAGATGGTTTATGCAGCATGCAGGCTCTAACACAGGAAGAACTTGGCCGGGAAGCAGAACGTCCGGAGAGCATATGAGCATTTTTCAGGCAATTTTTTTCCACCAGAACCAAGCCGCCTCCCTGTACCAATCAGCTCCTCGGACTCTTTCCTTCCAGTTCTTGCAATTTTCAAAATGTACATCAGTCAGAGTGCCTCTCTGAGCCTGTCGGCTTTTTCTCACTGCTAGCCTGCTAACAAACCAAATTGCAATTCACATTAAAGGAGAGGTTTTTCGTTGCACAGATGCAACATAAAGAGACTAATTTTACCAGTTCAGGAAAAAGTGACAGTGTCTCTTCAAAACCAAACCCCCCAACCTAGAGTATCTTCATCTTTGCAGAGTTTCTGTGCCCTTCCTGTCTACTGCACCCGACAAAAAATACCCTGTCAAAGCTCTGTCAGAGCTTACACATGGTTGATTTTGTCATCCTTTCTGTCATCTGACAGTGTTCAGACCTGGGGATTAGCTGCTAGGCCAGAGCACATCATGGAAATAGATGACATGCTCCTCCATTCTGGAAGCACCTGGTAATTTGCGGCAGGGGGGTAGCCTTCATGTTTGCTCTGTGTAGCTAATGATGGAAATATCTGTTTGGTTGCTCGGGGTTGCAAACTAGC